TTGGCCGGGCCGACCTCTTTCCCGCCAGCCGGCTCCGCAGGGGCAGGGCTGGGCGGGCGAAACCCCCGCCAGTTCCAGATCCCCTCCCGCAACCTCCCCACCACCCGGCTGGGGCTGCTGGGCCCCAGTGGGCTGCTGGGCACCCCTCAGCGCAGCCCCGCCGCCAGCCCCGCCATCCTCAAGCAAGGCAGACAGGTCAGTCGGCGTTCGCGGCATCTCCAGCTTTTCCATCCCTTTCTTACACGCTTCCTTGGCTTTTCCTCCTCTAACTTGTCCAGATTCCCTTTTTTTTCCTCCCTTTTTCCAGTGAGAGGGGGCGTTTGGGTTGCACCCTCCTCCATGCGGTGGGATGCAGAAGAGGGACCGCTGGGAGGGGGGCAAACCGAGAGGTGGAGGGGGGAGAGATGAGCCCGAGGGGGTTATAAGTACGTGGCACAGAGCCCTCTGTTTCACATCCCACACCCCTTTCTCTGTTTGCTTCCCACAGAACCTCTGGTTTGCCAACCCCGGTGGCAGCAACAGCATGCCCAGCCGGAGCCACAGCTCGGTGCAAAGGACGCGCTCGCTGCCGGTCCACACCTCCCCGCAGACCATGCTGATGTTTCAGCAGCCAGGTAGGAAGCAGACGTTGGCTTTTCCGCTTATCCGCAGCCCGGCGAGACAAGGGGAGGCTGCGTGAAAGGACCACGCTGGTGACCCTCACCGCAGGGGCATCACCCGTGCTGGCGCGGCACGCTCCTGCATGTCTGCAGCCAGGGGCACAGCCCAAGTGGGGTATTTTTGATGCTAGTAGGATTACTAGTCAGAGAAGGACTTGGGGATGTCAGCTGATGAGAAGCTCACCATGAGCCGGCAATGTGCGCTGGCAGCCCAGAAAGCCAAACATGTCCTGGGCTGCATCCAAAGCAGTGTGGGCAGCAGGTTGAGGGAGGGGATTCTGCCCCTCTGCTCTGCTCTCATGAGAGCCCACCTGGAATACTGTGTTCAGCTCTGGAGTCCTCAACATCAGAAGGACATGGAGCTGCTGGAGCGGGTCCAGAGGAGGCCACAAAGATGATCCGAGGGCTGGAGCACCTCTGCTATGGAGACAGGCTGAGAGAGTTGGGGCTGTTCAGCCTGGAGAAGAGAAGGCTCCGGGGAGACCTTCCAGCAGCTTCCAGTACCTAAAGGGGCTACAAGAAAGCTGGAGAGGGGCTTTGGACAGGGTATGTAGTGATAGGACAAGGGGCAATGGCTTTAAACTGAAAGAGAGGAGATTTAGATGGGATCTAAGGAAGAACTTCTTCCCTCTGAGGGTGGTGAGGCACTGGAACAGGTTTCCCAGAGAAGCTGTGACTGCCCCATCCCTGGAAGTGTTCAAGGCCAGGTTGGATGAGGCTTTGAGCAACCTGGTGTAGTGGAGGGTTTCCCTGCCCATGGCAGGGGGGGTGGAACTCAATGATTCTGAAAGTCCCTTCCAACCCAAACCATTCCATGATTCTGAGTTAGTTGAACCAGACACATCACTGGAGGAGTTTTTGACCCAATATATGACATCTTGACCCTATATAGATCAGTGCTTTTGCCGTAACCTAGCTCGTGTCTGAGGGCCTTCATGTTAGGCGGGGACGGCAGCAGCTCTTCCATCACCTTTTTCACTCACACGTGGATGTGGTGCGCAGGGAGGGGATTCTTCATGCACTCCAGGGGGATTCTTTTCCCAGCACGTGCAAAGGGAGATGTTGCTGTGTTGGTGCTTGCCTCCCAACCACGGCAGAAGTGATCCCGTATGGATGAGTGTCCTCTGA